GCCAATTTGATTGAATAACTCTGATAACAATTGGACGCCCAATTGGCTCAGGTAGTCTGAGATTTGTACTAAGCATAAAATGAAACCCCAGCTACTTGCGCTTATGGATAAAAGGTGTGGGCTGACTAAAAGTAAAGAAATATTTGGCCCAAGTAATGGTAGAGCTAATATGGGACATTGGTTGCTGCTAACCCCAATGACATATAAAATCCCCCCTTTGAAAGTTCATTTTACCCGTATATCAGCTAAACAAATGAAATAAGGAGACCTTGAATCAATTTATTCTTTAAATTGACGCAAACCAAAACCATTTGTGTTCTGTTTCATTTAAAAAATAGTTTAGCATGCAAATTCTCAAAACAAGCTGAAGACTTATTTTTTTTCAATGTAGAGTGGGCCCCACACCTAATTCCTATTTTTTTCAAAAAATGGAGTTCCTTTGCATAAAAGGTCTATAAATATATGAGGATTGACAGAGAAGAGGAAAAAAAAGGAAGATAAGAGGAGTATGAGAGAGTCAAAACACAATTAACTATTGAAGAGAGAGAATTAAAGTCATAATTAAACAAATTTAGATTTTAATTTCTAATGTATATTTGTTTAAATACTCAAAAAATTAATTGTCATGACATCTCAACCATTAAAAGTAGGCTAATCTAATGGTCTAAAGTGTGTGTCAAATCTTGTGTAAAAAATATGCTGCCACAGATCTGCCCCCATATATATATATATATATATATGTACAACATGGGATTATAAATCTCATAAAAGGGGGCGGATCTGTGACACCTAATTTTTTTAAGGAAAACTAATGCAAAAGGTTTGAAAAGTTTTAGTTTTAATCAAAAACCATGTTATAAGTTTTGTTTAATGATTAGTACAAGGCCCATATTAAAGTAGTCCAACTAAAAATGGCCAAACTATAATAAATTATGATTTGTCGATTTTACCCCTAACTTTTTTAGGTTGAGGTCCAGATTTTTATCGTTAATGAAGTTCATCGTTGTTTTGCAGACCTTCTTCTTTTTCTTTGAAACAAAAATATAGATCCTCATGCTATTTAATTTATATTTTGTATTATTTCGTTGAAATGTGATCGTCGTTATTATTCATAGTGTAGTCGAGGTACTGTTTTTCAATTTTTCTTCGTCAATGGAGTTCATCGTTTGTTTCTCCAGAAAATAAATTTGAGATTTGCATGTTATTCAATAATAACGATGGATCACTGTTTCTGAAATGTAAAAACTATTTCTGGATTTTTAGTAACACTATTTCTAGAATTTAAGTTACAGTTTCTTAAATATAATCAACTGATGCATGAAAGAAAAGAAATAGTCAAAGGTTAAAACATAGACTGTTTCTGGAATCTGAGTCACTGTTTTTGGAATTTAAGCCGCTGTTTCTGGATTTTGGTTCTTTTTTTTCCATATATAGTGTTTGTTTGTGCACAGACAAAACAAACACTGTATCTGATTTTAATTTTTTTTTTCCAGAAACAAGGTTATGTTTTGGGTTATCTAGAAACAGTTTTATGTTTTGGTTCTTTTTTTTTTTCAGACACTTTTTTGCCGGTTTCTGCCATTAAACTTCTTTGAACTTGTTTCGACGGCTTTGTTCTAATGAATGCTTCATTTTTGAACTTTGATTTGGTTGTTTTTTGAAATGGGGGAATTCGATTTGATAGGAAGACAAGGAGTTATTATGGCGGTTTCTTGCTGGGTTGAGATTGATGAAGAGTCAGGACAATAGCAAATCATTTAGGGGTATTTACAGGAAGTGTAGATTTGTAGCGGGTTGGGCTTGTAAGTTTGACCCGTGGATAATAGTTTTGGATGATTTTTATTCAACTTCGAGCCATTTTGGTTAAATAATATTTTGGGATGGTTTTTGGTTAAATATTTGTTGGCTCAAGCCCTTTTTATCAAAGCTCCCTTTTTATGCAGGATGATCAATACGAAGAGAACTGGAAAAGAAACAATAAAGAGTTGAATAAGAAATTAAGAGATGTCAAGGTTAATGAAAAACAGAGGAGAGAAGATAAAATCTTAATTAAGGATTTTCTTTTCAATACATAATTATTTGAATTATAAAATAAAGTGGACTAATAAGATTACATCTCAACCATTAAAAGTTGGCGAATATAATTGTTTGAAATTTGTGCCAAATCTTGTGTAAAAAATAGGGAGCTTTAATGAAAAGGGCTTGGGCCAACAAATATTTAACCAAAAACCATCTCAAAATATTATTTAATCAAAAGGGCTCAAAGTTTAATAAGAAAACCATCCAAAACTATTGTCCATGGGCCAAACTTACAAGCCCAACCCGCTACAAATCTACACTTCCATAAATACCCCTAAATGATTTGATATTGTCTTGACTTTTCATCAACCTCAACCCAGCACGAAACCACCATAATAACTCTTTGTCTTCCTATCAAATCGAATTCCCCCATTTCAAAAACAACTAAATCAAAGTTCAAATCAAAGTTGAAAAATGAAGCATTCATTGAAACAAAGCCGCCGAAACAAGTTCAAAGAAGTTTAATGGCAGAAACCGGCAAAATAGTATTTGGAAAAGAAAAAGAACCAAAACATAAAACTGTTTCTGGAGAACCCAAAACATAATACTGTTTCTGGAAAAAAAATCAGATATAGTGTTTGTTTTGTTTGTGCACAAACAAACACTATATCTGGAAAGAAAATAACCAAAATCCAGAAACAACTACTTAAATTCCAGAAACAATGACTTAGATTCCAGAAACAGTCTATGTTTTAACCTTTGACTGTTTCTTTTCTTTCATGCATCAGTTGATTATATTTAAGAAATAGGATGCTTATTTTGCTTTGAATCCAAGTACAGTGAATTTCACTATTTCTTTTCTAACTTACATTTAAGAAATAGTGTGTCTATTTCATTTGGATCTAGAAACAATGATTTAGATTCTAGAAACAATGTTACTAAAAATCCAGAAATAGTTATTTTTATTGTCCAGAAACAGTGACCGGTCGTTATTATTGAATAGCATGCAGATCTCAAATTTATTTTCTGGAGAAACAACCAATAAACTCCACTAAGGAAGAAAAATTGAAAAACAGTACCTTGAATACGCTATGAATAATAACGACAATCACATTTCAACGAAATAATACAAAATATAAATTAAATAGCATGCTGATCTATATTTTTGTTTCTTAGAAAAAGGAGAAGTCTGCAAAACAACGATAAACTCCATTAACGACGAAAATCTGGAACTCAACCTAAAAAGTTAGGGGTAAAATCGACAAACATAATTTATTATAGTTGGGCCATTTTTAGTTGGACTACTTTAATATGGGTCTTGTATTAATCATTAAACAAAACTTATAACATGGTTTTTTTTTTATTAAAACTAAAACTTTTCAAACCCTTTTCATTAGTTTTCCTTATTTTTTATTCTCCATTTGTCTTCACTGCTATCTCATTATTTTCGCTTAGAGATGTGCTTCTCATTATTTGTTTCTCCTTCCCTTTTTCCCCTTTACTTAACGGTCACATAAGTACAATGAGAATTTTATTTCAATTTCTATTTACTCTGCAATCAGATTTTTTTTTCTTCCTCATCTTGTAAAACCCTAATGTTAATCGCTCATAACATCTATTTCAATTTCTATTTACACTACAATGAGATTTTTTTTTTCTCATTAGGATTTTCTTAAAATCATTGATTTGTTCCATTCCGTTCAGAATTACTCAATCAAATTATATATGCATATCATTCATTGATCAACATAATATAATCTCAACCATTTAGATTTTAAATTGGCAAGATGAGAACTTCGCAATCCTCTTGAAAAATACTACTATATTTTTTTCGCAGTCCCCTGGTAAATAATAAGAAAGTTATTACATTTTCTGGGCATTGCAAATAATTTTTGGCTTTACTATACTCATCTCCCCCACTGATTCTCTATTGAAAAAGCTAGCAGGAAAGGAAAAAGACGAAAAAACAATAACCACGGATCATTCATTCATACAAACTAAAGTATTAAGTTTCATTTGGTCTCAACTGGAGGAAAAATGGTGGAAAATCTAGAACCTATATAATTTGGAGAATTAATGAAACAAATAGAGCGGAGGTAGAAGGAAGGACAATTAATAGAAAATAGGAGATTAAAGAGAGAGTGAGAGAGACAAAAAAAAAATCTTAAATAAGGATTTTCTTTTTAATGCATAATTATTTAAATTATAAAATTTAACTAATTAGATTACATCTCAACCATTATAAGTGTAAAGATCTCCCCCCCCCCCAAAAAAAGTGTAAAGTTCTAATGGTCTTAGAGCTGGTTTGGTATTGCTGTGCTTTGAAAAAAAGCTGCTTCTGCTGTGCTGTGAGAATAAGTAGCTGTGAAATAAAGCAGTAGAGTGTTTGGTAAGCTTTTTTGTAAAAATGCTTTTGAAAAAAAAAAAAAAAAAGGAGTATTATAGTATTTGGTAAACTTTATGTAAAACAGATGTGAAAAAAAACCGGTTTTTCAAAGCTGGGTTTTGCAGCTTCTTGTTTTTGGCTTTTTTTTCACTTAAAACTGTGAAAAAAAGCTGAAGCTGAATGTTTACCAAACACAAAAACAGCTCCTAGCATTTTTTTTATACCAGTTATTTTCAGAATCACTTCAGTACCAAACTAGGCCTAAAACTTCTGCCAAAACTTGTTTTTTTTTGTTGTGCCACGAATCTGTCCTCTCATAAAATGTCAAACAATTAATGTCAAACATATTTAAAAATATATATTAATAGTAATATAATGAGGTGCAAAAAGTTAAGGAACTTTGATTAAAATTTGAATACCATTAAAGTTTTAATCAAAAAGTTTTAGTGACTAAGGACTAAATCTAAAGTTTCCCTCTACTTATTTCCTACTTTTTAAACGTTGTAATAATCTCAAATTCTAGGGATGTATTGAAGGTACGTTGCTTCTAGGAAGCTTCTTGCTGACCCTATTTTAACCTTTCCATGTCAAAAACCTTGGATGTAAGTCTCTCTCTGCTTCTCTGAAGCTCTCCACATCTGGCCAAACACTCTGATATTCACTCCGCCACCCTCACACAAGCATTTCAATAACACCTTAACTGCATTCTTCATTCTTCATAAACTATGATCTCCAAGACGGTGCTTCATACGTTTCCGCCCGAGAGGCACAGCGGCAAACTCGTCCGGCGTCGAGGAGGTCTCATCTCTGTCCCAGTGAAGCTTTGGCCGGCGCCGGAGACCTACCGAAGGATGACGAAGTTGCTTCTGAATGTGACGATCGAGAGGAGCTTGGGGCCTGTGCAGGTGGTGATGTCGCCGGAAAACACAGTGCGGGATTTGATCAAGGCAGCTGTAGAGATTTACGTGAGGGAGAAGAGAAGGCCGTTGGTAAAGGAGACTGATCCGCACCGTTTTGAGCTCCACTACTCGCAATTCAGCTTGGAGAGTAAGCACTAAGCAATATAAACAATATATATTGGTGATTTTGCATACAAGTCTCTGCTTTTTGTTTTTATTAACTTGTTGCCTATCAACTTCTTTACTTTAACGACGGTGCAGGTTTGAAAGCAGATGAGAAGTTGATAAAGTTGGGGTCTAGGAATTTCTTTTTGTGCTGCTCAAAGTCAAAGCCCCCCGTCGGTCTGTGTAATTGCTCTGAGGAAGCAAAGAGGGCAATCAGTTATCAGTTTTCATGGATAAAGCTCATGGATTTCTTGCTGTAAATATTTCATCAAAAAAATATGCTTGTTTGTAATAACAAGTTTTCTCTTTTGTTAAATGAGTGTGAGATAGGCCAGTGCGAAAATCACTTCTCTTGCAATTATTACTTTTTCCAGGAGCTGTTGTTGTACTTTGGCTTCTTTTGGGTTGAAGTGCACCAATTTGGGTAGCTCGATGGCTTTGTCCGTCCTTTGGCTCATGGGGTTGTCTTTCTTTAGGCTCATATTTTGGTGGTAAATGGATGCCTAATTTTGCTAGCATGACAAAGGCTCTTTTGGTCTTTCCATCCAATTTTTTAAATTCTCAAATTTTAAAAATACATTTTTTTTTTTTTTAAATTTGAGAATTTTGAAAACACAAACATTCGCTCTAGCATGTAAAAAAAAAAAAAAAAAAAAAAAATCCAGAACTCGCCAAATTTACCCTAAATTCCTCTAAGAGAACTTTAAGACCAAACCCAACCATGGGCTAAATGCCATGATAAATGTGTGGGCTAAAAGCTAAAGGCAAAACAAAAACCAAATTCCCTCCAAGATTTAGCCCAGAAAATGGTGTAGGCACCACCAGTGGGATCCCACCCACATGGTCATGTCTCCCAGGATTTATTGAATCCAACGGATGAGATCGAATATAATCAAATCTAACGGTAAAAAAAAAAAAAAAAAAAATCTAACGGCTAAAATAATTAAAAAATATTATTTAATTCAAAATTCATCCAAATTTAGTGATTTTTCAATATTTATCAAAATTTAAATATTTTAAGGTTAAAATGTTCATAAAATTAAATTATGATAGTGTACATAATTTTTTTTTAAAATTACTTTAAAGGAAAAAATTAGCCTAAATTTATTCTTTAATAATATCAGGCTAAAAAATTTAGGTCATAAGGGTTGGAGCAGAAAAACTGTTTCTAAGCTAAAACCTAAATTTTCTGGGCTAAAAATTTTAGGTTTTAACCCAAGGGTTGGAGATGATAAATGGCTTAATTGTTCAGAGTTATCATGAAATTTACAATTTATTTGGCCTCTCTATATTCATGGTTGAATAAACCAAAGAACTTTCGTCACGTTATGAAAATTAACATTTTTCTCAATTCAGATAGTAGAAAAAGTAATTAACGTTTTTCTCAATTCAGATAGTAGAAAGAGAAATTAACGTCTTGCTACAAAGTGATTTTGACAGTCTCACGTGTTAAACAACACCTAATTGTATTCTTTTTAAGATTAAATAGGATTTGTTGTGGCCAATATTTAGAAAGAAAGGGAAGGTGGGGCATAGAGAAGAGATGGAGAAGGGCTTGAGTAATTCTATATGTAATTCCTCATGCCTTGTATCTTTATTTATAGTAATAAGGATAAGAGAACAACTGTTTTTCAAGTAATACAAGTATAATAGGAAATATCTTTTAGATCCCGAAGGATTCCTAATTTATCACTCCTTAGGATTTACATAATCCCACATGTGCTAATAGTATTCACAACATTCTCCTTTCAGTGTGTAAATACTCAAGCAGTAGACTCATCCGATCTTCAGGCAATTATGGAAATAGTTGATGAAGTCGTCCCATAGGTATAACGTGTGAATGCGAGTCTCAAAACAAAAGGAATAATGCATAGGTAGTCAAACTCACAGAATCTCACTATGGTAAAACCTAAGGTGGAATAAAAACCTATAGTCTAAAGGAGAAAGGTGATAAATTGCATTAAGTCAAAACTAAACGTCTTCAAGATGCATGCAGAACACTCACAAGGGTATGACTAGCCTAGGATGGATGTCTCGTTCAAACCTAGTTTGGTAACATAAACTCAGCGGAAAAATGCTTCTAATAGTAGGGAAAAAGAGTATATTAAAGCCAAGTGAGATACTTTTTGGATACTTGCCCTAAGCATTGCAAATAAAATAGTTATGCATACCAATTCTTCAAACAAGCTTTTGAACGATACACTTCAGTAGTGACTTTGGCAAGGTTGTGTTGGGATATGATTTTCTTGACTTCAATCTTCAGATACTCATGTTGATGCAGATGCAATATATTTGGCATTGAATTCTTGCATGTATCATGTGATGGTCTGGTCGATACATGCGGCATAGTCTCCATGGATTATTTTTTAGACTGAACGATGGATGAAAATTGCAGGTGCTTCAAATATGCTTCCATGTACACATATGCCGCAATGTATAATGATGAGCTCGAAGACGTCGTAACTAAGATCTATTTGTTTGACCTCTTAGATATTGCAATGTTCCTAACGATAAATACATAACCCCTTTGGAAACGTGCCTTATGCATATTAGATAGATAGTCTGTGTCAGCGTATCCCACAAGGTAGGCATCTTACTGAGGACCAAGTGGGTGTGATCCATTCTAAGATGCATAGGAATAGAATAAGCCAAATTCTGTAGTAACGAAAAAACGTCTTTAACACCAATTTGGTGGTGGCGTGTAGGCGAAGTGCTATTTTATGCTAAAAGATTATCAGCACTTGAGATGTTTGATTTAGTGCTTTGAACTAAAACAATAAACGCCAATTGCACTTATATATAGAACTATCAGCTCTATAACCTCCTCGAAGGTCTCATTTGCATCTAGTGTACAAACGATCATGGGTTTACTCAAAAGCAACACTTTCTGGGTGTGGTTCGACTAATGGGCTAGTATACCATAAAAAATATGCTTGAAACTTCATGTCAAGATAGTGTCGAGTTTTTCCAAGATCTTTCATATCAAAGTTCAACTTCAAGTGCAACGCCAGATGTCATCGACAAATTGCAACTCTGCAATTTCGGATTTGTACATGCTGGGGACATATACCCCTAACATATCAAATATTCACTTAGATAGGTATAACACACCTGTCTGGATGTTCCACATTCGTAAACCGAATGCCTCATCTAAATTGAAAGGGTGCTTTGTGGTCTAAAACTATTTGTATCAATACATATAAATACTTTGTAAACTTCTATGTAGATTGCATATCATCATCCTAAAGATATACGTTACAACTACATATATAAGCCATAATCGATCCAGGGCGTATGAGAGAAGCCTTGCATCATAAGGCGGCGTTATATTGAACTATTTCATTCATCCCATTCGACATGGATTTGTTTTTTTTTTCCAGTTAACCAATTTGTTATATGTTGTCACTAACCAACGAAATGTTGTTTGTATTGTCGTTTTTCATTTATGTCTGTAGCTACTATATAAGTGAACTATCATCGTTAATAATCTCATTCCAGTTCCATATCTCATCCAAACTAGTATATTAGACCAAGAACATCAGGTCTCAGTAATAATTCGAATTAATCTCATAAGATAAAAACGATTGAGACAACAATTGAGGATGGGATTCATTTGTGTCATGATGGTCAATTTCTAAGGAGGTGAATCCTTCGAGCCGAGTGATTTGTCGCGCTTAAGAGAGAAGATAGATTTATTGTCTAGTCACCAATGTACTGGGATCAGCCACTAGGTGTGGCAACCAACATTCGGGGGATGTCCATACACGTTAACAGCGTCCTCTTCTTCTGAGGCAATGGCATCTGTTAGAAATGTCTATCCTTGTGAGCATGTTTGTAGTATATGATCTTGTCATTTTTGTTAGATCAGAGAAAACATTGGGTAACACTATGATGATTTAGATTATGGGACCCAGATGAGACATAGTGGCGGCATCCATGATAAATCTCATTGTTCCTCAAGAACGTTGACGTTCTTATCTCCCTTCAACAGCGGGAAGACTGTCTCATTGAAGTGACAATCTGCTAATAAAGCAGTAAAGAGATCGCTTACAAAGCCTTAAGAGAATCATAATCGACAATGATTCATATTCTTTTTGTGAGGACCTATATTGGTACATTGGAGCAGCGCAGTTCGCATATAAAGTATAAACAAACACATAAGTACAAAACTTTAAGTTTGTACCCTATTACCAAATGTAATGCCAAAATAGGATTGAGTGGCAATGGGCCTCATAAATGAATGCAATAATACATATCTATACACAGAAAAACCGAAGTTTGGTGCCCTCACTACCAAGGTTCATACAAGCATTTAAAGGTGTTTAATGAACGCCATCTGCGAGAATGTTTAAGTGTGAACATAGGGAATCAAAAAGTTCAACTTATGTACCTAAGGGAAATGTAGTAATCATTGAATTTGTCGATGTAAAATTTTTGGGATTATCTAGTCTTCTAGACTTTATAAATAATTGGGGTGGTGAGCCCGCAACCTAATAATTGGTGCCAATGGTCTAACAAAGCATTGTTGGTGTCGATGAACATGTGATCAATGTGTTGATATGTCAACCAAAATTACCCACATTTTGGTTGGATTAGTTCGTAAATATTCCTTTGAGAAAGATGGAGGATCTGTAAGGATCGTTATGGTACATAGGTGAGTAATTAGTGTGCCTAGAAATGATCTTAGTAGTTGGGCTAGTAATTAGCTTGCCCTAGAAAGATCGGTGAGCATTTCTTAGCAAGGTACGCTTCCAGGTACAAGGTTCTTACTGCTGGTAAATGGATGTCATATACGACGCATCAATAAGTAACCTAGATGTCCTAAACGTTTGTGTCACAACAAAAATAGTGGGCCTTTACGACGCGAATGGTTGTGATATACAATTCATTTAGGAGGCATTCCATTTCCTCTAGAATACACTTCTGGCTATATTCATAGGAAGTTACGCAAAAGGAATTCTACTCCATTTTCTATAGTGATTTCAATATGGTAATAGTTCTCTCGAATATCCTTAAAGCTCAAAAGCGCTCTTTTGGAATGAAGTGAGTATAAGCATTCCCTAATGGTAAAATTAGTATTATTGTACAACATGATATGGGTAGTGCCATGATTCACAATCAGGTTGGATAGGATTGAAAAGGCTATTAAGGGGGTGATTAGGTATAAAGTTAGCATATGGAAGCAGACAGCTAAGTTCCCCACAAAAACATACCTAATTAGGAGTTAATTGAATGTGGTCATGATGTGGTCTTATTTTCATATATTTTTATCATATATTTCCTTTGGATTTAGTATATTCAAATGGGTTAAATGTTAATTTATATTGTTTTGATCTTTAGGTATTTGATAGCGAAACAACTTGAAAATGCAGAAGAAAATGACACTTTTGGGTGTCTACAATAATCCCAA